TTGTGGTATTGTTTTTAAATTTGTTTTTTAATCATTGAGTATTTGTTTCATGTATTAGTAACTTAAATCTATTTATTGAGCGTTGGGTTAGTATAAAACTATACTTGTGAACACATTTTGTTTAGACTATAACTTTTTAATCATATATTCAAAAGAGCAACACACAAGTTTCTTGCTCATTCTTCTTGTGATGAATCTGCATTCCGAATAAAAAATATGACTATTCAAAAGTGCTTGTATTGAGTTTATTTGAATAAATATTATTTCTATTTCTAGTTAACTACAATGGTGACAAACGAGTATACGGCCCACCTGATGGTAAATGATTACCGTATCATACGACGCCTAAAACGCCTGAAACACCAGTGCTGTCGCGCTTTGTCGACCCTTAAGAATCCTTAATATACCCTTTAAAAACTTTATTCTGTAGTTTCTAGAGCAGAGGCTCCCAAACTTTTCTGTGTCGTAGGTCCCATGCCATATTTTTCCATTTTGGGTAGACCTGGGAAGTCTACCTAAAACTGGTATTAATTTTTTGTAAATTTCTAACTGTAGTAAAGTTTAGTGACAACAAGATGACCGCTCGTAGACCTTGCAGATTATCATAGACCCCTGGGGGACGATATAGATCATTTTGGGAATCACTGCTCTAGAGGAAACCAGAATTCTGGACGCATAAGTATAACTGACCGGACTGTAGGGCTGGGCTCGGACTGGGCTCAGTACTGTACATTGCAACCGGATGAAGGCACACGTTGTACAAACAACCATATAAATACTAATACACTGTTATTGAACGATATACCAAGCTAAAATACTGTGATTGTAACCTACCCGTACCCAGAGGGTGGAGAGATCCACCCCTCAAAATTATATGCTTTACAATTAACAAAAAAATAGATGCATAGAGCATTTATATCAGTTGTGTAGTACCCAAATTTGGGACTAGATGGCGCTGTGATTTAAGAATTTGAATTTATTTGAAATAATTGAAATTTTATTTATTTTAATAAAAAAAACTTTCTATAATAAATTGCTAACTGTTATTTTGGTTTCCACTTTGTATATAAAAGTGTATTAGTTTTATGAGTTGTGGACCTAGTTATTCAGCTTGGTATACCTTTCACAAGTACCTCAGAATAAACCCTAAAATGTCTGCCAAGCGAGCATTATGGCAGTACTGTTGACTGCAGCAGCATACAGGCTAAAACCGCGACTCTTGTCGCCCCACCACTGCCGTCATATACTGCAAATTGCTAAGCTATATTATATAAAATTGTCAGTATTTATCATAGTTAAGATTACAGCAGGACCTTTTAAAACGACCAATGATAACCGCATTATAATAATGATTTTATATTATACATCTATACATATAATAAAATTGGAATGTCTGTTTGAAATATTGAAATAACAGTTTTTTACTACATGCATATGAATATAAATACGGTATATACACCAAAATTACATTTTTTACAATTTTTGTCTATCTGCTGTTTGTTTGCTAATCACTGAAATGGCTGGACCCACTTTTTACTGTAGTAAAAAACAGTTATGTCAATATTACAAACAGACACTCCAATTTTATTTATATGTATAGACTAGCTGTAAACTACGATTTCGTCAACGTAAAAATTTCCCTTTTTTTTTTATTAGATTATGTAATATTTGTAAAATAAAAGAAAACTAAATTCCTCCTTTTTTCGGTCCAACCATCTCGGAGATTAGCAAGAACAAACAGAGAGATAGACGTACATTTTTTTTAATTATACAACTTAATAGGTGTGTCTTTAGTGAAAAAGGTTTAATTTTGAAATTAAAAGACACACTTCAATTTTATTTGTTTCTATAGATAGAGAGGAAATAAAAATATTTTAATATGTAATAATAATCAATTATAATGGGAATTTTGTTGGCAGGTAGCTGATATAATAAGGAGTAACTTAGGCTACCTTTATTTAAGAAAAATAAAGTTAAATTCCACGCGAACGACGTGTGTACAGCTAGTATGGAATAAAAACTTACAAATTAATTTCATTATTTAGTTCTAAATGATAGCACTGGTCCACCTACTGTATTCTTAACTTGTCTTAACTCATATACATATCGGAATGAGTAGAGTATATACAGCTAGTCACATTAATGACAGATTATAAATGTCAGTTACATGTGACATTGGGGCCGTTCAAGTATTACGTGAGCAGATTTATTACAATTATTTACCCCCCATCCCCCTCGTCAGCAAAAGTAGGCAAAGCGCTTACCCCCTCCCCCTATTCTTACGTAAACATTTTTCAATTAATATATTGTTTTTTAGCAGTCAATGTGAGGGTTGTCATTCGTGTAAAAAAGTAAATAATTACCAATGACGTAAGCATCTAGACTCCCCTACCCCTAATTCATCTATACATATAAATAAAATTGCAGTGTCTGTTTGTAATATAGAAATAACCAATTTTTACTACATGCATATTTACATTTTTAACAATTTTTGTCTGTCTGTCTGTCTGTTTGTCCTGGCTAATCTCTGATATCAAAAAAGTCACGTCAAAATCGGTCCAGCCGATTTTGACGTGACTTTTTCTGGCAGGTAGCTGATGTAATAAGTTGTAACTTAAGCTACTTTTATTTTAGAATACTTATTTTATTTCAGAAAAATAAATTCCACGCGGAATATATAGATAGTCTAAAATAAACCAAGTGAACCCCCCGCCCCTCTATAGTGCTAACGTAACACTTGAACGGCCCCATTGGTCCGGCTCGGACGTGAAAACGTTCCGTCATATAAAATCGTTAAGAATATAATCGCAAATCTTAACTCGCTATATATTTGCTAGTCAGTCGAGTTCGTCAGTCAGTCCAGGGTGTATTTAACACTTAACTACTCGCTTATTACTTTTGACCCTGTATCTTTTATTGTTCAGCAGTTGGTAATTACCGGCGGAGCACATTACTCACTAAACGATTACTTGAATGACGAGCGTGCATGGCAATAGTTGTTCATGCACGGGATTTTCATTTAATGTTAGACATAGACACCTATACAAATGTACATTGTAAATAAACTGGCTTTAAAAAAAAGTAATTCAATTGAGTTTCTTGTCAGTTCTTCTCAATTGGATCTATATACTGAACTGGACGGTAGGGAAAAAAATATAATATAAAAAAAATTACGTTATATTAATATAAGAATTGATGGAAAATTTTGTTGTGGAATGTATCAATGAATTGATCCAATATTGACTGCCTACCAGTAGAGCAGCGTACTTACATATTATACATAGAAGATACCCAGACATACAAACAGTCATACTCATGAATACACATATTTGCACAGTGTGAGGAATCGAACCCGCGACCATATAAAGTAAAATGATACTAATCTCCTAAACCATCGAGACCGTTATATAATAGATATATAATAATAATATTTCAGGACAATTCACACAGCGCCATCTAGTCCCAAGCTAAGCTTATGTTATGAGTATTAGACAACTGATATAACATATTATACATAGAAAACACCCAGACCGATACAAACAATCATACTCATGAATACAAATGTTAGTACTGTGCGAGGAATCGAACCCACGACCATCGGATAGTAAAGCGGTGTGCTAAACCACTACACCACCGAGGCTGTCAAGAGAGGATATATAGCTAATAGAGTATATTTTCTAATTTGGAATGTAATTTTAATTTAAAGATCTAATACAATTAGAATCTGCTACCTTAGCCCATTCCTTCCCACTGTACTATTTTTAGGACACTACATTTAATTTCTTTTTCAACACACTATGTATTTATACAAAAGCTACTAATGAAATGTGTATTTTAAAATAATTTTTCTTTTTAACATATTTACGTCATTTTTGAAAGAAAGAAAATTGTTTGTTAAAAATGATTGTTTACCTACATTTGGCAAATAAAGTATTATTATTATTGTTTATTTGGTACACTGAAAATAATTTTTAAATTTTAATTTACATTTTAATGGTTTATATTAATTTTACAGTAATAGGTCTCCGCTCAGCATATATCGTGACGGGGGCCACGACGCTGTTTTTTTGCGGATTTTTAATTAACACATTAAAAAAAAAATATTTTATGTATTAAGTAAGTAATCCTATAACATCGATGCTTGGGAAGTAATGGGTTAATATTGAGAAGCGAGCACTTAAGCGTCAAATATATTGGTTATCACGTCCCCGACCGGTCCACCGTCGTACGGACGGACCGTCACTTGAGCATTGATTCATATAAGGACTTAACATGTCTAAATATATGTATACATGGCAGTGAGTCGGACGTCAGTCCGCTCTGGAAACGTTAATTTCTATGTTCATGTCTATATCGTACACAAGCGTCCGGCGTCCGGTGTCCGGGGCGTCCGGCACGCTTGGCAAGTACCTACGGTTCAGTCTAATGATAATTGTTAATAAGAATTTACGGTTAAGGGCGTCCATTATAAAAATAATCATATATAAAAGTTTTTTTTGTGGAAAACTAGTAGATATATATAAGAATGTATAATTAGAAAATGCCACCTGATTAAAAATCTTATAGGCAATCCATAAGTTTCCCACAAAGAAAAATATTAAACCTACTTTGTCAATTTGTTCTTGAAACATCCAATTAGTTTGTACCTTCAAAATATTAAATATATAACAATGTTAATGTATCTTCAACGTAATTACTTTGTAATTAGAGTACATATTAAGTAATCATAAAATATAAAATTTAAAGTTAAGAGACATCTAAATATACATAACTCAAAGGTGACTGACTGACATAATGATCTATTAAACACAGCCCAAACCACTGGACGGATCGGGCCGAAATTTGGCATGCAGGTAGATGTTATGACGTACGCATCCGCCAAGAAAGGATTTTGATTAATTCTACCCCCAAAGGGATAAAATAGGGGATGAAAGTTTATATGAAACTTTGTCAATTTTAAACCGATCAGGCTGAGACATAAAGCTACTATGACATACGCATCCCCTAAGAAAGGATTTTGATAAATTCCACCCCTATGGGGATAAATTAACGCGAGCGACGCCCCGTCTAAAGCTTATTTCATTATAATTTTAAATGGAAAATGGTATCTTTTCATAATTGAGTTGATTACTTAATATGTACCGAATACGTTTGTATAATGTATAGAAAAAAGTAGTTTAAAGAGACATTTCACTATGATTTTAAATGGAAAATAGCTTCTTTTCAAAATTGTCAACTAGTACATACTATACCAGTCAGATGCAATGAACGCCCTGAATGTTAAATTATCAAAAATACATGTTATGTCAATCATTTGTAATACGGTGTGTTGGTTTGGTTGCACGATGACGCTCGATGACACTCGATGACACTCTGGTGCGGGACGCGAGCGTCCTTATAGTGATAGACAGACAGACCTGTAATATAGATACGTTAATTTTAAATAGATAGACAGAATATGTATATATGTGTATAATAAAATTGATGAAAGCAATTTTTTCAAGGCATTCTCTTAAATATGAGTATTAATTTGTTGATGTGGATGGGAGTAATGATGATGTTGTCGATGATTATGATGATTGTGTCGATGATGATCTCGATGTCGTCGATAATGATGTTATCAATGATGATGATATCATCGACGCTTTAACTATCATCAACATTATCAAATTTAAATTAAAAAATCATTTATTCATGTAGTACATTTTAGCGGCTTAGGAACGTCAAATTTTTTATACTATAGTGTTTTCCCTATCATCATCATTATTAATATTATCATGATCATTGACATCATTAACACAATCATTGCCGGCGTTATAATTTAAAACATCATCAACATCGGCATCATACACTCACTCACGTCGGTCATGGCAAAATCAAATTGATCCAAGATACAGTTGGGTACCTTACTATAAAATACGTGTATTTACATAAGTTAATTTATTAGAATAGAAAATTATGGACATATGTCAAATAGAAATATTTCATATTATAAATATTCGAACTAGCGACTGGTGGCCAGTATATGACAGTCCTCCGCCGCTATTCTGCAGTATTCTATTCTATTTCTGGATTCCTGGGGCCGGTAGTAGCTGCTCCACGTGCCTGCGCCACACAGCTCCCTGGTCGGTCTGTACTTCGTAGTGCAATCGTCCCAGTCTATTCAATATGTTGCCAAATTCCCATTTTGGCCCGCGTACAGAGTAGTTTCTAGCTTGGACCCGGTCACCTTTTGTATATATTTGTTTAACAGGTGGTCTGTTATTCGATTCAGCTACTGCTAGTGCTGGTGTGGTGCGGAACATAACATGGAGCTTGGTTCTGACGTCTCGATTGAACAGAAGCTGATATGGTGTCCGACCGTTCGAGGTTGGTGTACGTCTGAGTCGTGTCTTAATGATCAGAAGTTTATCGTTAAGGTCACCCCTCTCCCCCTCCATTGCGCGTAGCGCCCTTTTTATTGTTTGTATATAGCGCTCTGCTTGGCCGTTAGTCGCTGGATGGTAGGGAGCTGATTTCGAGTGTTTTATACCACAGTTCGAAAGGTAATATTCAAATTCTTGAGATATAAATTGTCGTCCATTATCTGATGCTAATGTATGTGGTATTCCATATGTAGTGAACAGTTCTTTCAGTTTAGCAATACACCACGAACTTGTAGTAATTTTAGTAGGGTAGATTTCAACCCACTTTGTGAAGGCATCTACGACAACTAAAAGTTGGTAACCATGTACAGGTCCGGCAAAGTCGATATGCAGTCGTTGCCAGGGTTCTGTAGGTTGTTCCCAATGGTGTAGCGGTGCTTTCGGTGGTTCATTCTGTTGTAATCGACATGCTCTGCAAGATTTTACCTTGTTTTCAATATCTGTGTCTATATTTTTCCAATATATGTAACTGCGTGCTAATAATTTCATTTTAAGAATACCAACATGTCCTGCGTGTAGTTCGTCGAGAACACGGCTACGTAGACTGTGCGGTATTACGACTCGGGTTCCTTTCAAAATGCAATTATCTTGAAGTGTAAGTTCGTTATCGTTATAGCCGTGTTGGCGTACTGAGTGACCTGTTTTTAGTGCTTCCAACAATATTTTAAGTTCCTCATCTGTCTTTGTTTCTTTAGCTATAAGTTCTGGTCGGACATCAAGCGTATTGATTTGTTGTTGTTGGAATGTGTAGTGTTGATCTTTAGAATTTTCTTTTACATATTCCACTGGAAATCTTGATAAATAATCAGCATTTGAATGTTTTGATGCCGGTCTGTATTCTACATCATAATCAAATCCTGATAGAAAATGTGCGTAATGGAACAGTCTCATTGTGCTTAAGGCTGGTAGTGTTTGGTGTGGGTGAAAGATTGAGGTAAGAGGCTTGTGGTCGGTTATCAGTGTGAATTTCCGACCGTAGCAGTAGTGAAAAAATTTCTTTATGCCCCAGAAGATGGCTGTAGCTTCTTTATCGATTTGACTATATTTCTTTTCGCTGGTTGAAAGTGATCTAGAAGCAAATGCGATAGGCCTTTCAGATCCATCCTTTAGTTTATGAGATAGAACAACGCCTAATCCTGTTGGAGATGCGTCAGTGGCTATTATCAATGGCTTTTTGGGATCGAAATGAATGAGAACTCTTTCACTCAATATCTCCTGTTTAATTTTATTAAAGCTTGTTTCACATTTTGAGGACCATTGAAATTCTTTTTTTTCTTTCTTTAGTAATTCATTTAGAGGATTTGTTATTGAGGCCAAGTTTGGTATAAATTTGTTATAATAATTTGCCATACCTAGAAAGGTTCTTAATTCATTTACATTTTTCGGTCTCTCTGTTTTCATAATCGCTTTCACTTTGTCTTTATTTTTATGTAGTCCATCTTCATCTATTATATGTCCTAGGTAATTAATACTTCGCTTAAAAAAGTTACATTTTTCTCTGTTGACGCGCAGGTTACTCTCTTTGAGTTTCTGAAGAACTTGTTTCAGACGTGATAGGAGTTGATCTTCTGAGGTTCCTTGAATAATAATGTCATCAAAGAAGCATTTGACTCCATCTAGTCCCTGAAGTAATTGATCCATAAATTTTTGCCATAGGCTAGGTGCTACCTTAACACCGAACATCAATCGATTCACTTTATAAGTGCCTTTGTGTGTACTTAACGTTTGTAAAAGTGCGCTTTCGTCATCCATTTCTAAATTTAGATAGGCTTGTTTGATATCTAAGGTGCAGAAATATTTCCCTCCATTCATTTCTATGAATATGTCTTCTATTATGGGGATTGGGTATTGTTCATCCTTGATACATTTGTTAAGGGTTACCTTGTAGTCTGCGCACAAACGGATAGTGCCGTTAGGTTTTACGATTGGTACGATTGGAGTACCCCATTCCGCATGGTCCACTTTAGTAATGATTCCTTCTGAACATAGTCGCTCTATCTCTTCATCAACTTTTTCCTTTAAAGCATACGGTATACGACGAGGTTTAATAAATATAGGTTGTATGTTTTCCTTGAGGTTCAAATGAGCTTGGTAATTTGGTATTTTTCCTAAGTCGGTTCTAAATACAGTGTTCGTATATTCTTCTAATAATTGATCAAGATTCGTAGATGGTTCTGAATTTCGTATTATATTGATATCTGATAATTTTATTGTAAGTTCTTTCATCCAGCTTCTCCCAAAAATTGCGTCAACATCTTGGTTGATTATATATAGTTTTCCATTAAAGGTCTGATCTTTGTATGTATATTTGACGTAGGTGACTCCTGAGGGTTTAATAATTTCTCCAGTGTATGTTCTTAATTTCATATCAGTTTTGAATATTCGGTTTCCGATATTCAATTTCTTGTATTGTTTCAGGGATATTGATGACAATGTTGCTCCAGTGTCAAACTCCATACTGATTGGTCTGTTCTCAATTTTTATTTGGATCATGTATTTTTCTGATATTTCACTTTTCATGAGATTGATGTCTCCCATGTTTTCATCACTCGTATTACTTGTAGTGTCATCTAATTTATTCATATTTGTATTTCTTTGTAAGCAAACACGCGCTAAATGACCTGTTTTATTGCACTTCATGCAAACGGATTTTAAGGCACCACATTCTTTAGACTGGTGGTCATTTTTTCCACATCGGTAGCATTTTCCTTTCAATTCTTTTATTGTTATTGGTAGTCTTCGATTTTGTATTTGAGATGGTGGTGTATTAGGGAAATTGTTTTTATTTGTTATATTTGTAATTCTATTGAGGCTGTCAGAATATCGGTGTGCGTCTGTAGACATTCGTATGTTTTCCGATTTTCCCATTTCCATGGATGTAGCCATTTGTACCAATCTTGTAAAAGGTGGTGTTTCTCGCTCTTGTAGTATTCTTATTCTTATATCACTGTCCTTCAATCCTCGGATAAATTGTAATGATATGAAGCTTTCTAAAGTTGGTTTATGGCAGCTTTGACATTTAAATTCACAGTTATTGGACAATTTCTTTAATTCGGAGGCGTACATTGCTACTGTTTCATCCTGTTTTTGTACCCGGGTAATAAATTTATGTTGTAATGCCCATACACTCGGTTTTGGATCTATGTGGTCATCTAGTATACGAGTAAGTTCTATAAAGTTCATGTTAATCGGATCTTCAGGCGAGCATAGGTCGTGTAACTTTTCGTGAAGTTCAGGAGATAAGGCAGATAGTAATATATATACTTTCATTTTAGGGTCTTCTATGTTGTTTAATAAAAAATATACTGTTAATCTTTTCGTAAAATTTTTAAAAGTTTCTTTTTCTTGAAATGGTTGGAAATTCATTTTGGGATTTCTGTCTAGACGTGAATTGGTGCTCGAAGGTGATGGGGATAGCTGTGGTGCTGCGGTGGGTACGTGATTTCTGTTTTGTAGTATCAAAAGTTTGGTCTTTAAAAATGTACATTTCTCTTCAAAGTCGTATCTGTTCTCTATTTCTTCATTAAGTTGTTCTTCTGGTGATTCTGTTTCGATATCATGTTGAATTTCTTGTAGTTTTCGTAATGTTTCTTGAAGCGATTGAAGTCTTGACTGAATTTCTTCTTGAGGGATTGTTTCGTTAGTGGTTATATAATTTTCTAATTTTGTAAGTAAACCCCGTAGCGAGGCTCGTGTTTTCTTCAATTTTTTTATATCGATAGTTGACATCGTCGCCAATTTATAAAATACGTGTATTTACATAAGTTAATTTATTAGAATAGAAAATTATGGACATATGTCAAATAGAAATATTTCATATTATAAATATTCGAACTAGCGACTGGTGGCCAGTATATGACACTTACCAAGGCGTATCTGGGCTAAAAGTGACTGAAATGAAAATCTGTGGCCTATGCTCATAATGAATCATAAAGCGACTTGATGTTAATGAACCTTAATTAATTAAGTAATGTGTTACTTTTTAATCATGATTGAAATAGATTAAATTATTGAATCGATTAAAAAAGTAACTGATTGCTGCAAACAGTGACACAAATGACGGTTCCCACACACCATGATCCAGTCTTGTATGGATCAAATTGCTGGCCCGTAAAGACAACGTAAAGACGACTGCATGCGAGTGAAATGCGAATGTTGAGATGAATGTGTGGTGTGAGAAGAATGTATAAGATAAAGAATGAATATGTACATCAGAGGAAGTATGAAAGTGGCGCCGGTGACGGAGAGATTTCAAGTGATTGTTTATCATGGTATTATAGTGGTTTGTATGAGATGAAGTGAAACCACTAATTTAGTCGTATTCGTATTTTATTCGGAGTAATTTACAACTTATGTGCGTAAAATTATGTCATTAGTATACTATACAAACAGGTGATTCCATTCATTGAGTGAGAAGGCAATACGAGTGCGCTCCTGCTCGCACCGAGTTTATAAGTATAAGCAAGGCGATCGCGTCCTCCGATCGATCCCCCGTCCAATTCAAATAGGGATTGATATTACGACAGCATGAGCCGAGGTTCGAACCCTTAGTGATGCCCTCAGACTAAAGTCGTATCCGTCAGGCGGGAGTTGGCCTTCAGCCGCTCCATAAGTCCTTCCTTGGTTTGGAGTGCCATCTGCACTCGCCCCCTAACGTCCGGCGAAGCTGTAAAGGCCAGCTGCGGCCAACAGCATTAGAGTAGCCCGAAAAATAAAAATTGTGCCGGCAGTTGGCGCGTAGCTGTTTTACACGAATGATGTGTGCTGCTACAGTATGGACATCTAATGCGTAGGAATGAAGATAATATTTCAAGGAAGGTGTTATATTTGAATTTGGATGGTATAAGTGTAGAGGAAGGCCGAAAAAGAGATGGATGGACTGTGTGAAAGATGATATGGTGAGAAAGGGAGTAAATAGCGCGATGACTGCGAACAGGGATGAATGGAAGAGAAAAACATATTACGACGACCACAAATAAATGGGATAAGGAAGAAGCAGGTGATGATGATAAAAATATTGCGTAAAAAATGAGCCACTTTTCGAAACTACATTAGAGCAGGAGAGTTATAGAGACGGTGCGTAGTGGTGTACCTGCGGCACTAGAACAGAAGATCAGTGGCGGCGGCGCGAGCATCGCTCCATGAACGTGCGGCGTCTGCACCGCAGGGCCGCGCGTCTCCCGTGTCTGTCTCTGAAGCCGCAGCCTCTGCAGCGCCGTTACTCTGCACGTCTGTACAGTCACGTTACACTAAATTCACTTACATCCGACTTTGTTTAGGCTGTATATAATAATTCTGTTGCTATTTGATTATAAAAGAAGAAAAATGTTATTTTTATTCTCGAATATAATTAAATTATTAATTTTTCGAAAATTTCTACAATGGTTTTAACATTATTATATTGTAAGCCTATCCAAAGTCAGGGTGAGAGTGGGTGGTCCCTCGCAAACTTGTTTTTTTTATAATAATAGACTTTATGTACTAAAAATGAATTGCGCCGTCTGAAAAATACTAGATTATCCAACCGAGACACACTACAGTCACAGTCCGTACACTTATTAACTGTATAAACTTACTTTCGTTTAATCATATTCATCTGTAGCACCGATATGGCTACCGTGAGTGCTGTGTGTTGTTAAGACCTATTTAATTATTTTAATTAAAATATATACTAACCGTTAACTAGACGCCGCGTGACTCCCAGTTGGAAGGCATCCGCCAGTGTCTTGCTGGGCGTGTACCGCGCCAGTGATGACGATGCTGAGGACATGGGTGAGCGGTATAGAACACTATTCTAGCAATCTCTACTACTATTGAGTAATATACTTCAAATGTGAATACAGTATTGTAATAGCTATAACATATAACCAAGTATGAATAAATGGATGAATAAGGGATGGTGCATTTGCTAGAGCTAACGGTATACGCTGGCGCCAGTGGAGGATGATAGGATGGGCGTGGAGTCAGGTCAGTTAGATGGAATTGATTACCACTACTGGTGGTCAACATTTAAAGGGTACAAGATTAAGCATTGAGCTGAAGAAAAGAAGGTTATAGAATCTACTAGCAGACCCGGCCACACGCTGCTGGTAAGGTTCTTGAATAAAATAATATTGCGATTATAAATTGAGATGTAAGCTATACTATCTTTCAAGTTGGATCAAATTGCACACAATGTGCAAATCACATTTGCAATCGGTTCAGTAGTTTAGGAGTCCGTCGCGGACAAGCAACGTGACACGTAATTTTTATATATAAAGATTATCTATGGTATTTAAAAAGCTATACATATTACATAGTTACATCTCTTATTTGTACACAACAGCTATGAAACACTGCTTAATACGAATGTTTTTAATACAATAAAATTTAATTAAAGTGTTGTATTATTTAGTCGAATTAGGTATCATTTTGCGGAAGTCCATTTCTCTACTTATTGGACGGGTTTGGAGTGCCATCTGCCCTCGCCCCATAACGTCCGGTGAAGCTGTAAAGGCCAGCTACGGCTAACAGCATTAGAGTAGTCCGAAAAAAAAAATGTATATTATTTTGTTTAATTCCGCTACAATTAGCATATGTGAGACCACAATTCGGTGTGGAAACTTGACTATCGTTACGACCTTCTCTAGTGGCGATAAAATTATTACCATTATTGAGTCTACACCCATATCGCTATGGGTGCCCATAACATGTCCCATACCAGCAATTTTTTACCTCGCAACTTATCTATAACTTTTTTTTTTTTATAACACAGTGGACAAACGGGCATGCGGCTCACCTGATGGTAAGTGATTACCGCCGCCCATGAGCACCCACATCACCAGGCGCAATGTATGTGCGTTGCCTGACTTTTAGGAATGAATGAGCTCTTTTCTTGTAGGTTTCAATATCGTTTCGTTCGGAAATACCATTGCTGGAAGGTGATTCCGCAATGTGGTTGTGCGAGGCAAAATTTTCTAGAAAATCGCACTGTGGAGGACCGCCATTCATCCAGATGATCAGGATGGTATTTCAGTTTCTGGCGGGTGGTACGGTGGTGAAACTCAGCAGCTGGTATTAATCCGAACAATTCCTCAGAACACTCCCCGTGATATATGCGGTAGATATATGCGATAACTGGGGCAACTCGATTAAATATCAGGATATCATTCAACAGCACAGCAATGAATCTTAACAACGACGTATCTATTTAGCAGACTTATTGGGGATATTAGCGATAGATGGAGTGTGGGAAAAACAGATGAGGAATGGTGGTCTTAAACGAAGGTCTCGTCGGGCACGGGGCTCCGTGGGGGCGGGGGAGCCAGCCGCAGCACCCCTCGGTCGCGCCGCCCCCCGCAGTACACTTGCAACATGCGCATGATTATTCAACCTCGCATCATTTTTAAACTTTTTTAACCACCATCAATCATAAATGGGCTCTGGAACGCTACCACCATGCATCCAAATATACCATGGTTTGGATATTTGGGTGCATGGCGTTCGAGAGCCTATTTCTAATATAGTATAGTATGCTTATGTCAATTATTACTTGAGTATATTTTTTAATTTAAAAAAAAAAAAATTGTATCTATTATATATATATAAATATATTATATATATATAAACAATATCGCTTGCCGTGGCAACCAGTAATTAAGTCAACACTATATACCTGAACTCTGCAAGTTATAATAATTGTAACCTCATGGTGTATGTCTTGTTGGTCGCTCAAATAAATAAATAAATAAATATTATTATAAACTACTAGCTTTTGCCCGCGGCTTCGCTCGCGTTATTTTACCCCTTAGGAGTAGAACTTATCAAAATCCTTTCTTAGGGAATGCCTACGTCATAGTAGCTTTATGCATGCAAAGTCTCAGCCCGATCGGTTTAAAATTGACAAAGTTTCATACAAATTTTCATCCGGTATTTTATCCCCTTGGGGGTAGAATTAATCAAAATCCTTTCTTAGCGGGTGCCTACGTCATAACATCTACCTGCATGTCAAATTTCAGCCCGATCCGTCCAGTGGTTTGGGCTGTGCGTTGATAAATCACTATGTCAGTCACCTTTGAGTTATATATATTTAGATTTGCTAACCCGTCAAACATTGTTCTGCCATAAAAATATATAAGAATCAGTAGTAGACCTACATGAATGAAAATATTTAGATTTGATTTGATTAGAAGAGAAGATAATACGTCATACTCGTGAACGAGTGCTGCTTGTAGGGACTGGTCTGCTCTTATCACTACGACTGATTTAATATTATTGTTTATTTATATTTGACCCAAAAAATTAGTGCTGGTTGGTAGTTTGTATTCACACGTTTCGACTTGTAAATGTAAACTAACAAGGATTATTTAAAAGAGCAACACACAAGTTTCTTGCTCGTTCTTATTGTGATGAGACAGCTTTCCGAACGAGTGGTAGATAAAAAACAAATTGTTATGACTATTCAAAAGTGCTTAAATTAAGTTTATTTGAATAAATGATTTTCTATTCTATTCTAAAAAGATATTTTGAATTTGAATACATATAATTAGGGGGTGGGTATATATATACATACCGATGTGAGTGTTGGCAGCGAGTCTAGCGGTCGGGTGCTCTTCAGGCGGCGAGTCCTCGCACAGAGAAGTCTCCGACGGGTACTCGAACGTGCGCGTCAGCGAGTCGTCAAACTGCAGTTTCAGCTGCGAACCCATCAAGGTGTCTCGTAGTAGTCACAAATAAACATATAGACATAGACAATGTAATGCATCCTTAATGTATATAATACTAGCTGTCCCGGCAAACGTTGTTTTGCCTTAAAAAAAAAAATAGGGTTGGACTACCCCTAACATTTAGGGGGATGAAAAATAGATGTAGAACGAAAACTGTGACACGAGAATTTCTTATATATAAAATTCTCGTGTCACAGTTTTCGTTCCCATACTCCTCCGAAACGGCTTGACCGATTCTCATGAAATTTTGTAAGCGTATTGAGTAGGTCTGAGAATCGGCCAACATCTATTTTTCATCCCCCTGGATATTATAAATGTGAAAGTAAGGATGTTTGTTACGCTTTCACGCAAAAACTACTGAACCGATCATCATGAAATTTTGTACACATATTTTTGGAGGTATTAAAATGAACATAGAATACTTTTTATTTAAAAAACACTTTTTTTTTTTATAAAATATAAATAATAAAATAACAACATTATGCTACTTTAGCGCCATCTATCCCTTAGTAATGAAGTTATATATTATGATATTATATATAGATGAGAGACGACTGTATACAACTGAAATGCGAATGTTGAGATGGATGTGTGGTGTGACAAGGATAGACAAGAATAGAATAGAATAGAATAGAATAGAATAGAATAGAATAGAATAGAAAATCATTTATTCAAATAAACTTACATTGAAGCACTTTTGAATAGTCATAACATTTTTTTTTTAATCTACCGCTCATTCGGAATGCTGTCTCATCACAAGAAGAACAAGCAAGAAAAACCCGCTACGCTTTCATATTTCTAAAATAATTGAATCAAGAAAGCAATGAGATAAACAAATTATAACGTTGTAAGATAAAGAATGAATACATCAGAGGAAGTATGAAAGTGGCACCGATGTCGGAGAGGTTAAAGAGTAATCGTCTATCGTGGTATGGGCATGTAATGCGTAGAAATGAAGATCATATCTAGGGTTCATGATTTCTCGAGCTTTTCAATTTCTCGGGTCTCGAGAATTCTCGAGGTTAATTTCTCGGGTCTTCTCGGGTTGTCGAGAAATTTACATTTACGTACGTTTGGTTTATTTTTTGTTCCAATAATGTCAAAAAACTCAGCGGTTTCATTTGAGACGAAAACCACTGCATTTTTTGTTAAATATTAAATATAAAATTTAACTATAAAATTAATTATAAATTTCTTATTGAGTAGGTATATTTAAAAACATTATACATATTATGAATGAGCAAATTTTTTTTAAAATACTGAAATATATTAATTTCCTACATATGAAATTAGCGTTTTGTCGTACTGGCCACATTGATCTTAAATATCTCCTCTTTGGTATATCTCCTATTGTTTTTCGAAAACCGGAATAAATATGCTTGGTTTTTTCTTTGGGTCACTCAGCTTACAAAATGGAAAACTTAAAATATCGCGTCATTTACAAGTACGAGTACGAGTTCCGCCATGGCACTAGTGCTGCAGAAACGGCTCGAAGGATTAATGATGTGTATGGTGGTGGTGTCGCAAAAGAAAACAAAATGCATTTTTGGTTCCAACGTTTTCGTTCTGGAAATTTCGACCTGCAAAACAATCCCCGTGGGCGGCTGGAGTCCAAGGTTGGTAATGAAGAATTGAAGGCTATTGTGATAGCAGATCCATCGCAAACCACGTCCGAGTTAGTTGCAGGTTGCAGTGTTAGTGACAAAACTGTATTAATCCACTTGTAGCAAACTGGGAGGGTGAAAAAGCTTAAAAGGTGGGTCCCTCATGAATTGAGTCGACAATTCGCGTTTCGATCGACAAACGCGTGTAGACTGCTGCGTTACATTAGTCAACCGGCATAATAATAAAGGGATTTTAAATCGAATCATTACCTGTGATGATGTGGATCTTGTATGATAATTGGAAACGCTCATCGCAATGGCTGAACCCTGGCAAACCAACCAAATCCTGCCCCAACCGAAAATTGACCCAAAAAAAGTTACTTGCGAGCGTTTAGTGGACTAGTTCCGGTGTTGTTCACTTCAGCTTTCTTAAATCTGGCCAGATGATTACGGCAGATGTGTGTTGTCAGCAATTGAGAAACCATAATGGAAAAGCTAGCTACTAAACAACCGAGGCTGGTCAATCGCCGTAGGCTACTGCTGCTTCAGGACAACGCTAGACCACACACTGCACAACTGACATTTACCAAATTAGAAGAGATCAATTGTAATGTCTAAGACTTTACAATTGCTCCCTGGACCTTGCTCCAACAGATTACCATTTTTTTTCGAAATTTGGATAACTGATTAGGAAAAAATTCAAATCCGATGGGGCAGTCCAAAGTACAAAGATTTTATTGATATGTCCAAATGTTCCCGTTCAAATGTTTTTTTCAGTAAAGGGATCAATGAAGTACCTATGAGATGGCAAAAGTGCATAAATAGCAAATACATAGTTTGATTAAATAAACATGTTATATTTTGAAAAAAAAATACTTCAGGTTACTCCCTTACAAAACACCACTTTCATATGTCAGGACCTAATATTATTCAGACTTATATTTATAATGATAGCACCATTTTTGGCTGGTTATTTAGAAAAAATCTACCTAAAACTTGTAAACAAAAATAGTTTCTGTAAAACAAAAAAAAAATACATGAAAGAAAACCTTAATATCTTGAATTATTGCGCCGCCACGCAATACAACAAACGGCAAATTAATTTCTATATATGTACTTGATTTCTCGAGTTCTCGACTTTTCTCGAGCTTGATTTCCCGGGAACAAAACCCAACGATTTCCCGGGAATTCTCGACCCGAGAATTCCCGGGAATGAACCCTAATCATATCCTAAGGAATGTGTTACATATGAATGTGGATGGTTATTTTTTATTTTTTTATTTATTAATATAACTTCAATGCACACAATACTAAGGTAAAAGTACATATGGCGGACTTAACGCCTTAAGGCATTTTCTACCAGTCAACCATAGGCTGTGCAGAGAAAAACTGGTTATAAGGGTAGAGGAAGACCGAAAAAGAGATGGATGGACTGTGTGAAAGATGATATGGTGAGAAAGGGAGTAAATAACGAGATGACTGCGAACAGAGATGAATGGAAGAGAAAACCATATTACGACGACCACAAACAAATGGGATAAGGAAGAAGTAGATGATGATTCATTTCTACATATTGTAATGATCTCCGATACTTACTTAATGGATACAATGAGAGTGAAGCCGCGGGTAAAATCTAGTATATTATAAATTACAAAAATTTGCCATCTATTCCCAAGCTAAGCTGAGCTGACGTTATGGGTACTAGACAACTGATACAAATACATACATACATTATTATAATTGCATACATAGTACATAGAAACCACCCAGACCGATACATACAATCATAATCATGAAAATAAATGTATGTGCCGAATTGAACCCGCGACCATCGGAAGTAAAGCGATGCGCTTAACCACTGGACCACCGAGGTCGTAATATATACATAAACAAGGCATAACAACATAAATATTTTGTTCGTTTATCAGTTAAAGTATTTGACAGTACATAAAAGTTAACGATGTTATGATACAATTAATTTATTAATTAAATATCACTTCAGTGTACTGAGGTCAAGTGATAAAGTGGCGATTGTTAATGAGTGTTTAGTTACGACTAGCTGTTCCCGCGACATCGTCCGCGTGGAATTTAACTTTATTTTTCTAAAATAAAAATAGCCTATACTCTTATTACATCAGCTACCTGAGAAAAAAAGTCCCGTCAAAATCCGTCCAGCCATTTCAGAGATTAGCCGGAACAGACAGACAGACAAATATTGCAAAAAAAAATGTTATTTTGGTGTATGTACTGTAATTATATTCATATGCGTGTAGTAAAAAACGATTATTTCAATATTACAAACAGACACTCCAATTTTATTTATATGTAATATATGTAAAATATAACGCGCTCACGGTTTACGCTGGCAGGGCACCAGTGGAGGATGACAAGATGAGCATGAGGTCAGGTCAGTTAGCCGATCGTGACAAATTCACCAAGAATTCATCACGATGGTCTCCAGGGGGAACCACGTGGAGGTCGACCTAACATGGTACATTATTAGCAATGGGAGTTACTAGATCCCATTGCTAACAATCCCCTTCCCCCCCACTCAGCTCGTATTCTTCGACCGATGATCTGGTCGAGATCGCTGGAAGACATTGAATGCGAGCTGCGCAGGACCGATCATTGTGGAGATCTTAGGTGGAGGCCTTTGTTCAGCAGTATTACCTTAGAGATGCGGTCCCTGTTGGGCTTGTTGGGCATGGAGGAGCGTCCGTTGATGATGACGTTGTCGTTCACGAACCGCACCCCGCACGGGGACGGCGGCCCCCCCATCTCCTCCTCTCCATCCCCGTCCTCTTCAGGGTCGGAGTCGGCGCGGGCCAGCGCCGCCGGGTCCAGCACCACCACGCCTGGCTCACCCGCCTGCAATTACAATCGAAAACAATGTTAAACAAATCGAATAGTAAAAATTATATGTCACGTTGTTTGTCCGCGATGGACTCCTAACTGAACCGATTGCAAATTTGATTTGCACATTGTGTGCAATTTGATCCAACTTGAAAGATAGGATAGCTTACATCTCAATTTATAGTCGCAGTATTATTTTATTCATAAACCTTAGACACAGCAACGTGTCTATCTCTATTTGCTAATATAATAATAATAATAATAATCTCAGGACAATTCACACAGAGCCATCTAGACCCAAGTTAAGCTAGCTAAAGCTTGTGTTATGGGTACTAGATAGCTATATACATATACATAGATTTTTTTTTGTAAATACATACATATTACAGTAAGTTAGTGTATAGTAAGTAAGTGTAAGTAATTCAATTGAGTTTCTTGCCAGTTCTTCTCAATTGGATCTATATACCGAACTGGACGGTAGGAAAAAAATATAATGTAAAAACTTGACGTTCAAGCGGCTAAAATGTCCTACATGAATAAATGATTTTTGAATTTGAATATATATAGAAAACACCCAGACCGATTCAAAAAATCATAATCATGAATACAAATATTTGTGCCGTACGAGGAATCGAACCCGCGACAATCGGTTGTAAAGCGGTGTGCTAGACCGCTAGACCACCGAGGTCGTAATATGTATGTCTGTTTCGTCTGCGTCCAATTTAACTTTATATTTCTAAAACAAATGTAGCCAAGTTACTCCATATTACATCCAAAAAAGTCCCGTCAAAATCGGTACAGCCATTTCAGAGATTAGCCGGAACAAACAGACAGACAGATAGACAAAAATTGTAAAACATGTTATTTTGATTTAATTATTGGCACTTCTTCTCAACTGAAATGGCTAGCCGTACTGTACGGTAGGGATAAATGGCAAAAAGAGCTGATAATGTCCCTAGTCCTAATTCCAACAGTGTCCTGAAGGGACACTGGAAACACTGGGTGGGACAGGTAATACACTAAGGTTTATAGTTTTTTCAATTAGAACCTGTTCCTGAGATTAGCGCGTTCAAACAAACAAACTCTTTAGCTTTATAATATTATTGTAGATATTTAACTTGTATGCACGATAGTAAATCGAAGATGGTCAGTTTCTTTACAAATTAATGTCAACTTAGAAAGTTTAAAAGAAATTACACCTGTCCGACTCGATATACAGGTATGATACCGTGTAGTCGCTTGTCTTGCCTTAGTTATCCCCAAGGTCTAGATTAGGAAGAATTATATCCTAACTAATACTATATATGCTAAAGTCAGTTTGTTACGCTTTCACACTTCAACGGGTAACCTGATCATCATGAAATTTTATTTATATATAGCATAGCATAGCATTTGGGATAGAGACATGGATTTTTTTTAAACGTAAAGGAAAAACATATAGGTATATGTTATTTTTTATTTTATATATTAATAACTAGATGAATACCCGGCTTCGCTCGGGTGAAATGTGGGTAGATATTTCTGTAGTCATCGGTTCTCATGGAATATTAAAAGTAAGCAAGACATAGATTTCTGAAGTTTCGTTCATTATGTTTAATAAATATAGTAAATAAACAGTGCAAAAGTTTTTATTTTTTTGTAAAACTTTAAATTGGGCTAAAAAGGACTTGTCCAGAGCTGTAAAACAAATTAATTAAAAAAAAATTGCCAAATTTGTCTCGCAATCGGCCAATTGCAGGTTTAAAGAAAAAACACATACTCCTTTATCATAAAAAAGTGTCAAAAACAATATTTTCGCGAAGCGTGAAGAAAATGCTAGTGAAATGAAAAGATGGCGACTGCGGTTTGTTTGTCAGTGTCATTAGAATTTAACGAAATACTCCATAATCCGAATGTTGTCGACTCGAAATCAATATTTTTTTATTTATTTTTCTAGCAATGTATCATGTCAGGTCATACTCCAAGTGAATCATTAGTCCATACATATACCCAATAGGATCATCAGTCCACATTACTTACAATTCTGAGCTGGCGAGAAAAGGTGGTTCACGTGGAACACGGTGGTTGCAGTTCCGCTTTCCAATAGCCTTCTCACAATTTCGTACCTGGATTCGCCAGAGATCCACCGAGATACTATACCAAAGATGGAATCTAACCACTGATTGCAAACAATCAAAAGTGGCAACACCAAAAACAAACCATCGACTAACAAACTCCTAGTGAATCTAGATAGGTATAACCTTAAAATAATGATAGGGACAATAACGGGCCATTGTCCCTTAAACAAACACCTGTACACAATAGATGCTACGGACAGTCCCCTTTGTTGGGGCTGCTTTGAAGCCGAAGAAACGGCGGCTCACGTAATCCTGGAGTGCTTGCAATGACCACACAACGAACACAAATCCTCGGAACGGTGAGGTCGCTCCGTGAAGCCTGTGAAGACACCAGGATTCTTCTGCGTTTCTGGGAGGAGCTTGGCTAGCTACGTTAGTAGCCTGGCTCTACACGCACAACGGCCCGAATGAGAGGCGAATTGCGGAGACTGGAGTCCAATTTACATTTACATTCTCCCTAGGGTACCCGCTTACTGTCCTGGTCAGTTCTAACAGTCGTATCGTCGTCCAACATACCCCCAGCATCGTATACCGCTAGAGTATGCATTTGCATCATTCCATATGCTTTAAGAGCATCAATTAAAATAATTAGAATAGCTGTAATCCAGTTTACGTGCTGTTAAAGTATAAAACATGCACGTAATCGTTGCTTTGTACGATTGAGTGTCATTTCTGATTAGTTTGCGCTATGAAAACAATTAGCAGTCAGCAGTGAGTTTGGCATGCGATTGAAATCACGTCAAATCGCACGTACACGAGTATTTTACGGTTTCTGTTCAATCTTTAAATATATAATAATAATAATAACTCAAAGGTGACTGACATAGTGATCTATCAACGCACAGCCCAAACCACTGGACGGATCGGGCTGAAATTTGGCATGCAGGCAGATGTTATGACGTAGGCATCCGCTAAGAAAGGATTTTGATTAATTTTACCCCCAAGGGGATAAAATGGGGGATGAAAGTTTGTATGAAACTTTGTCAATTTTAAACCGATCAGGCTGAGACTTTGCATGCATAAAGCTACTATGACGTAGACATCCTTTAAGAAATGATTTTGATACATTCCACCCCTAAGGGATAAATTAACGCGAGCGAAGCCACGGGCAAAAGTTAGTTTTATTATAATCTTTCTATTTAAAGTTTTTGTAGATAAAACTTACAATTCACAGTGGGATTCTCCAAGGAGGTACCTAATAGCGTACTAGTGGTAATATGTTCACATTATTAAGAATTCCTTTTCCCCAAGTCAATATTAGTCACAAATTATCAGATTATTGCGGTATTTCATCATTATACAGTCAATGTCGCTGCCTATCCGTCCCTATGTATGCCTTAATCTTTAAAACTACACAACGGATTTTGAAGCGTTTTTTTTAAATAGATAGAGTAATTCAAGAGGAAGGTTTATATATATAATACATGTACACCCGGGCGAAGCCAGGACGAGTAGGTAGTAGTTAATAAATCGAGACAGCCATAAGAAAATGGGGATTTTAGCATGGCTTTTAACATTATTGAATTTGATACATACACTTCATCCTACTGGCAATATGAGCTCAGACATAATTCCAGCAAAGAATATGACAGGAACATCAATAAAAAAAATCGGGACAATTGACGTCCCGTCAGACCATTCGTCGGGACACGACATCTGGCATCGCGAATAAATCCGGAAGGTCGGCAACCCTAGGTGATACATGCGTCGGGCACGTGGCGTGTTTGCAAACTGCTCGAGCACTTGTAGGTATATATGCTCGATAAGAAAGGACGATCGTTATTTTCTCAATATTCTCAAGTAAAAAAAGTTGTTTAGTACGTTACAGCGGAATTAAGTAACTTTTTCAAATATGGAACTTGATGAATCCATATTGACATGAGAATAATTTAAATATCTTTATTTAAATTATTCTCATAACAATATGGGTATTCCAAATTTAAATTCAGCGTTGTAGCTTTAGCTGCAGCAATATGCTGTTATATTGGTTTCTAATAATGTTATTATATTGGTATCGCTGTGTGTATACATGTACTTGTATTGTAAACATCAGGGATGTTATGGATATGAAATTTCGGATACGGATAAGTTTCGGATATAGGAACGATTATTATACTGGATACGGATATGAAATTATTTCGGATTATCCGTTAGTTTCGGATAATTTCGGTTACGGATATTAATTTTTTAATCAATTTCAAAAATAAAATACAAATAGCTAATACAATGATTACATAATGTGTCTCGATTAGGCTCGGGTCCTATCCGATATTATACGACACTTTTATTTCGGATTCGGTTACGGATATTTTTTCAAATCGGATATCCGATAGTTTCGGTTACGGTTATGGAGCTCCGTAACATCACTAGTATATATGCATACCCGCTGCCAATCGAATTTAATCTACGCTGTTGTAAAGTATTTAATATGCAAAATATCTTTGATCAAATATTTTGGGTTCCAGGCAACGAACGTGAGGATATTCTATTGAATTTCGATTTCAGATAACAATAAACACGTAAATCGTTTCACAATTTTAAAAGGAAGTAGTGACAAATCAACATTATCTTACAGATAAAAAAATTCTTCATACCCATACGAAACCAATAATATGATTCACGTGTAATAATTACATGATTCACAAATACATAATGTTCAATAAACATTTTAAATTAGCGATTTTATATCTATATATTATTTGAACAAATATTAGATTTGGAATTAAAAAAAACAGTCCTTTATTTAGTATAGATTTCCGATATGAAGCGAAATAAAAATAATCTATATTCAAAACAAGCACTTTTAAAGTCACATTTTTTTTTATTCTACATCTCGCAACTCATCTTACGAAGAACGATCAAGAAAGAAGAAGAATTTAAGTATTTGTGTGAATACAA